ATATATATATATATATATATATATAAAGGTTTCTACCTATATGTTTATCATTTTAAGGTTTTCATAACTCTTATTTTTCTGATTTTCTAGATAATACATTTTTTATGAATTACAAACCTTCAACCTCGAGTGCATGAATTTGCAGGTTCATTATGTTAAATTTAGGGAACATTCGGCTCCTTCAATTGTAAGTATTTCTTTTTTCCCTACAGAATTTCTTGTATATGGTCTTATAAGCATTTAGAATCATAGACCGTTTGTTGTTGCATTATGACCAATCACAGTTATCCAGAGGAAATTGTACGAATTGTGGGTAATCGTTCGTTAGTAATATGAAAGCCTTTAGATGGTTACTATGATTACTCAGTTTCTTAACTTTGACGTTGTCTTCTTTTAATTAATAACGTAAAAAAGCATAATTAAATTAATCATTTATTATTGGTTACTTCCAAAATATACATTTAATTATATGTTTGTCTGTCAAGAATGAATATTGAAAAACGAAGTAATATTTAATTAAATTAAAATATAAATAATAGTCCAAATAATGGTTATAATAAATAAAGTAATATTTGTGGTCCACTTCAACAATAATGAAATTAAAATAAATATAAGGTACCAACAATAATGTTACTCAAAATGGGTTCAACCATTCAATATGTTAAATCTATGTGTCATAAATAAAGTTACAACCAAATTTTCATAAATTGATGTATATATTTTATAACATATTTAAATTTATATTCAATTTTATATTTATAAACGTTTAAAAAAAATCATATTATAGATTTAATATTTGAAATATATTATTTTTCATGATAATTGAAAATAAAATGTTCGGAATATAATTTTAAATTAAATTAGTAACAAAAAACTCTTTTTAGTTCAAAATATATCTTAGTTTATACATTTAAAACCTTTTTAGGGGGTCTTTGAGATTGCTTATTTAAAACAACTTATGTTTTTTTGTAAAAATGCTTATTAACTTATGACCAATCAAACCGGAGTTAAATAAAACATGGTTAAAATTGTAAAATGGTAATAAGCAGTTTTTCATAAGTCAGGAATGATTAACTTATCAAAAACAGCTTATTACCGGTTTGACACTGGTATAAGCAGTTTTTTTTCTTATCCAAACACTAGAAAACAGCTTATCACCGATGTCAGACTGAAATAAGTTAAACAACAGCTTTTATAAGCAATCCCAAACGCCCCCTTAATAATACTTGAAAAGAGATTTTAGTTAAAAGCCGTTGTTTTATTTTTATTTTTTAAAAATTTAATGTACATAACTAGATTATTTTTTGTATACTTTAAAACGTAAAAGTTAAAAAAGGTATTGAGTTTTGGTTACGGAAATAATTGGATGATGGACTACTTAATAATAATTTAACAAACCAATAAGATTTATAATTGAATATTTCGTATGAAGTTGGTGGCTTATTTGGGTAGTTAAGCTTCTCTATTCATGATTTGGGTTTTATTCATACGACTTATGAATTTGTGGACATTTTCGTATTGGTTTGTTAATAGTTGACAAATTTCTTGTTAATATCAATTTTTTTTAATTTAATATAAAATAAAGAAAATCACAATATCACATAATAATTAATAATCAAAGACCAAAAAAATTAATTTAGTAAAATAATATACAAAACATATCGAGTAATTGATATTAATGTACAGAAAATTAACAATTTTAGATTTTAAATCTAGTTGGAAAATAGAAAACTATAAATTACCAATTTAGCTGATTTAATTTATTAATATATATATATATATATATAACAAGTACGGGGTTGGCAATGAGTTTGATACTCGTTCGCAACCCCGACCCATCCCTGATCGAGCTCGGGTTCCAGGATGGGGTGGGACCCATTATCATGCCTAGGTTCACCTATGATGACTCTGGGCCGTCTGTGGTCATCCAAAGGATTAGTCGGTGCATATAAGTTGGTCCAGAAACTCATTGTTACCCAAAAAATATATATGATATCATCAAGAATGGCCTCGAGTCATCACACTTAAATCTCTATGGCTACAAGGATTTTGCTACCTATTAACAAACCAATACTAGTATCTCCATAAATACTTGAATGTCTCATGTTATTTTTGACCTTGAATATTGTTAATATATCTGAACCCGACAATCCAATCTGTATAAGTTGAATTGATTATGCTTTAAATATATTTTTTTAGATGCTCGGAAATTTTCAAAGGATGCCAATTATAGGGTTAAGTTTCGGTGAGAATAAGAGTTAAGTAGATAAGCGTAAGAAGAGATCTTCATCTTAAATACACATTAGGATATGATGCATCGAGATGAGATGCACCAGATCAATTCTCATATCAGAGGTGATTTATATGTTAATTTGAAATTAAATGTGATCAAGTTTCCATATCTTTTCTTACTTTTATTATATTAACTCTCGTTCTCGTACAATACTTTGCTACTAATTAAACCGGGTTTTTCAAACGAGTAAAACCAACTCATATACCTTAATTTTCAAGATAAAAGAGGACTAGCGGTAACGGCGTCCGATTCAGCTGTTACAACAAATCGGGCAGTTTCAACTGGTGAAGGTCCCTTCTCACCTTAGCTTCTTTAAAGCTCTCTCCTCCATTGACGTTTTTTCTCTCATCTCTCTCTCTCTCTCTCTCTCTCTCTCTCTCTCCAAAAAGTGCTCTTATATGATCTTCTTGTCCTCCGATCAGATGCGTTGTCTTCACAGGTTTCGTTCCATCTTATCCCTAATCTCTTCTCAGTATCTTGACTTTTCTAGGGTTAGGGTTTCATTGATCTTACCCTTATAATCAAATTATATTTGGCATATGAACACCTAATCTGGATATTTCTTAAATCAATTGATTAATCTTCTGTAAGATTTATGAAAATAAAATGCATCTGAGGTGGTTTAATTGCTTCCGATGCGCTATTATTCATATCGGGTATGATGTCGACTGATATGGCTATATTTCTTCATTAAAAAGTGAACGTTTTCATTGATTTGATTCGAGTATGATTACATGAGATTTTGCTCATGCTGTTGAGTGTCGATTCTACCGAAGAAGTGAGAAACATTATAATGCCGGCAAAAGAGAAAATGAATGGAGGAGGCCTCTTGACAACCTTATCCATAGACAACAATCATTTATCAACGATTCTATCCATGGATTCGAGTTTGTTTGAGAGGGAGGTGAATCGAGCGGTGGATCTTACCCTGCCGCCGGATATCAATCTCCCTCTCTCGGCGGAGCCCAGCCCTCCACCGCCGTCATCCAATGATTCTTGTGATATGTTAGATGCCGGTTTAGGTTCTCAACATTATCAAACTGAAACACATATTAATGTCACAAATATTGGGAAAAAATCAGCAAAGAGGCTTGATAGCATGTGGGGTGCTTGGTTCTTCTTTAATTTCTACTTCAAACCAGCTTTAAATGACAAATCGAATAACAAGGCGAATAGGGAAAATGGGTATGATAAATCACGGTTGAAATTGGATGTTTTCTTGGTTCAACATGATATGGAGAACATGTATATGTGGGCTTTTAAAGAAAGGCCTGAGAATGCATTGGGGAAGATGCAGCTGCGGAGCTACATGAACGGTCATTCTCGACAAGGAGAAAAGCCATTTCCGTTTTGTGCTGACAAGGGTTTTGTCCGATCTCATAGAATGCAAAGGAAACACTATAGGGGTCTCTCTAATCCCCAATGTGTTCATGGGATAGAAGTTGTTCGGTCGCCTAACTTAACTGGATTAGACGAAGAAGAAAGGAGAAGGTGGATGGAACTTACCGGAAGAGATTTGAACTTCACTGTCACTCTTGAAGCTAGTGATTTTAGTTCATGGAGGAATCTTCCAAGTCCGGATTTTGAAATTGAGCGGCCTCTAGTTTTGAAGGACAATTTGGCTAACGGTAATCATCATCATCATCAACAACAACAACCAAAAAGATTGCTAAATGGTTCTGGTTTCAACCATTCGGTGCAGTTACTAGATCATGTGAATGGAAACGGATATGGGATGGATCTTCTGGCAAGTTGCAATAGTAAAAGGAGGAAGAGCAATGGCAACGATGATGAAAGCAGTGATTCGGTTGTTGACATTCAACCGAATTGGGTAAGCCAGATCTCCGGGGTGTTGAAAAGTGCTCATGGGCCTGTGACAGCTGCCAAGACCATTTATGAAGACGAAGAAGGGTTCTTGATCGTGGTGAGCTTGCCGTGTGTTGATGTTGAACGGGTGAAAGTTACATGGAGGAACACGTTATCACAAGGGATTGTGAAGATTTGTTGTGTAAGCACAGGATGTAGGCCGGTGTTGAAAAGGCAAGAGCGTGTGTTTACAATGAGGGATCCAGCATCCGAGCACTGCCCTCCGGGGGAGTTTGTTCGGGAAATCCTGCTCCCGACACCAATTCCTGAAGACGCAATGCTAGAAGCTTACAGGGACGAGACGGGAACCATGCTCGAGATAATTGTTCCCAAGCATCGAGTAGGACCTGAAGAACACGAGGTTCGTGTGTGCCTTCGACCGATGCTGACTTAGCAGAAACTTTGGTTTAGAGTTTGTGATTGGAGTTTATTCATATATGAATATGTTGATCCTTCATTGATTTTGCTAATGTTATTTTGCAAGTGGAATCTCTGAAGTAGTATTTGTAATTGTAGGTGACTTTTGTCCCTTTTTCCTTTTGTCAATTGAACCATATCTCAATTCTCAAGTGTATTATTGTGATTATTAACCGGAAAATCTAGTTTTGTGTAAAACTATAGGAACCAAAATTGCAGTTTACTTGCTTTAATTAAAAAAAAAGGGGCCATTCCAGAATTATGACACCTTTGCAGAACTTACAGTTAGGCCCTCCAAGTATTTGAATTTAGCAGTTGTACCCTTTTCTCTAAATAATTAAAAAAAGAGGGGCATTCCGAGAATTGAACTCGGGACCTCTCGCACCCTAAGCGAGAATCATACCACTAGACCAAATGCCCATGTTATTATGGTTTTCTTGTATTCATATTTTATAATTTTATTTTCCAAAATGTTTGTTGTTAGGAAAAAAAAAATCTCACAAATAAATATAAATAATTTAATCAAGATAAATACCATCTATATTCTAATCACTCAAAATTGTCAAAAAAAAAAATCATTGAATCGTTCAAATTGGTCGAATCAAGTCAAAACATACTATTTTTGGTCGTTTGAGCTGTCTAGCAATCCAACCCGGTTTGTGGTTTGAACGTTTATTTGAGCGCTTTGGACCAAACCGACCGCCAAAATACATGTTATTAATTATATTTAGATTTATGTTGTAAGATCAGCTTTTATGCTCCAATTAAAAAGTTCAACTTAGATATTAAGTTTTTAGTTTCCATTTTTCCATTGTCGGGTTCTCTAAATCGACAAAATTCTGAAGTCCTTCAAAAATCAAAATCCAAATAATCTTTAACTTTCTCAATTTCTGTCCAAAATTCTAACTATTGTTGGTGAATTTCTTAACTTTTTTCAACTTGTTCAATTTTTTTTTAAATTTTGAAGATAGATGTTTATTATTTTTGGAAAATTTTATATGAGTAAAAAATTCATTTTGGAGATGTATGTTATTGTTTTTTTTAATTTAAAGCCTATAATAATTCCAAAACCCCTAAAAGGTCATAACATACCACTTGTTTGTGCAGGGACGGACCTACAGTGGTGCCAACGGTGGCACATGTCACCGTATTATTTTTCCGTCGAAGGGTAAAAAAATTTAAATTCGTGAAAGGTGCAACCGTATTAATTTGTTGTGTGCTATCGTATGTATTTTGAAACTACAATGTGAACAAGTTTTCTTTGGTAAAGTTGGTTTGCAAGACTTTTATTCCATCCCAGACCCGAGTTCGAATCCTGTTAGTGTTATTTTCTTAGTCAAATGGTGTCACAGTTTGAATTTTTTTTCTTATAGTAAAATGGTACCACAATTTGAATTTTTTTCCCTATATTTGTTTCTTATAGCCAAATGATGCCACCGTTTGAAAATATTTCTGGATCCGTCCCTGTTTTTGTGGTTCGGTTTGGTCACTTGTTTCCAAACCATTTGGTTTGGAAAATTTCCTAAACTGTCATTGCAGTTTGGTTTATAGTTTGGAGTAGAGATGGCCAAAAACCGGTCCCGGGCCGGTCCCAATCGGTCCTCACCATTCTCATAACCGGTCCCGGTCCCAACCGGTCCTTCATTAAAAAAATAAGATTTTTTATTTTACTTTTTTAATGATATATATTTTTAATACATTATAAAATTTACAATTGGTCACTCAAATACACTTTAAAAATGCGTTTTAATATAATTAAAATTACTTTTCTTATAAAAATACATTATAAAAGTATTTAAAAATACATTTATTTATAAAATTAATTGAATTTCCGGGCCGGGCCGGGCCGGTCCATAGTCGGTCCCATAACCGGTCCCGGTCCCGGTCGGTCCCGGTCCCACGAAACTACCAAAAACCTCAACCGGTCCCGGTTTTCGGTCCCATAACCGGTCCTTACCGGTCCCGGTCCCGGGCCGGTCTTTTGTCGGTCCCGGTCCCGGTCCTCCGGCGGTCCCGGGCCGGGCCGGGCCCATTTGGCCATCTCTAGTTTGGAGGTTAAACCGTACAAATAGAACCGCAAACATCCGTAAAAGGATTATTGATGGTTGAACATGTGAATCTAAAATAATAAAAAATAGTTGTATGAGTTAATGGAAAAAAGGAACTAAAACATTAAACGAGGGAAAATGTGTTTTATTTGTTGTTCCAAACCTTAAATATTCCGATTTTAAACCGAACCATCTCATTTTTGTGCCTTGTAACGTTATGACATGTATATCTATAATTAAACATATCTAAACATCGATTTAACAACATATATACATAAAAAATGGCATTCTCACTCGTTGGTTACACTTATTTTTCATTATTTAAACGTCTTTTAGAGTCTCACGCTCCACCCCCATTTAGAAAACATCATTGGCCACTTAAGAATGATTAAACTTAAGCTTCACACTGGAATCATACTTGAAATTTACTGATTTCTTCAAGAAGCTTGTTGCACACTTTCTTACTTGCTCTTGCTCCAAGCATACGCCAAAACTCCAATATTTTTTAGTTTTCCACTTTTTCTTATCGAAAATCCAAGAGAATGAATGTAGAATGTTTTTTTTTATTAACCTGGATATCCAACCCGCTATGCAAACCGACTAATCCCAAAACAACCATCTGCTTTGCAGATACCCCGGAGTCATCGTATTTGAACATCCTTGGCCACAAAGGGATTTTCTCTTATGAATGTAGAATGTTTCTCTTATCAATAAAAAGATTTGGGGATTAGAATCCCCAGACAACCTATATTCCTAAAATCAAGCCTTGATAAGCATCCTTGTTTTAATTCAAATGTGTTTATTACTACTAGAAGGGTACTCGTACAATGCTACGAGATACATCTTGGTTTTTTAATATTTTATTTTATTTTTTTATCTCAGTCGATGTTATAATATGGTCTTATGTGATTTTGAAAAAACGATGAAGTTTTTATCTTTGAATAAAATATAAATTTGATGATATCATAAAAAATTTGACAAAAATATATCGATATTAGTATCAAATTAACTATTTAAAGTTCTTATTTGTGTGTAATTTTTTAATTCAATTTTTATTATAATTTAATTAGGTTCAATAATAAAGTAATTTATATTTGGTTTAATAATATAATTTTCTTATAAATATAATAAATTAATTATTTTGTTAGTTATCGATAATTATCCTAATTATATTTTAGAATTTTTATATTTTAGAACGAGATGTTTATCTTCTGTTTGATTATGTTTATCCGCAGTTAGTTATACGAATTCAAACATAAAGCTTTAATAAGTTGTACTTATGCATAATTTACTTATAATCTTGAATTTTAGATAATATGCTGTTGATCCTCTCTCTCAGTGATTTGATGATAATCCCTTTTTCCTTTCGATGTATTTCTGTATCTGTAATTTCAGTTCCAGCGATCATACACTGAGCTTGTTCAGTGATCGCTGAAGAACTTGTTTTG